CCCATAGCCCATAGCCCATAATAACCCATAGCCCATAATGACCCATAATAACCCATAGCCCATAATAACCCATAGCCCATAATGACCCATAATAACCCATAGCCCATAATAACCCATAATAACCCATAGCCCATAATGACCCATAATAACCCATAACCCATAGCCCATAATAACCCATAGCCCATAATAGCCCATAGCCCATAATAACCCATAGCCCATAACCCATAATAACCCATAGCAACCCATAGCCCATAATGACCCATAATAACCCATAGCCCATAATAGCCCATAGCCCATAATAACCCATAGCCCATAATAACCCATAGCCCATAATAACCCATAGCCCATAATAACCCATAGCCCATAATAAGCCATAGCCCATAATAACCCATAGCCCATAATAAGCCATAGCCCATAATAAGCCATAGCCCATAATAACCCATAGCCCATAATAAGCCATCGCCCATAGCCCATAATAACCCATAGCCCATAATAACCCATAGCCCATAGCAACCCATAGCCCATAATAACCCATAGCCCATAGCAACCCATAGCCCATAATAACCCATAGCCCATAACCCATAGCCCATAATAACCCATAGCCCATAGCAACCCATAGCCCGTAATAAGCCATAGCCCATAGCAACCCATAGCCCATAGCAACCCATAGCCCATAATAAGCCATAGCCCATAACAACCCATAGCCCATAACCCATAACCCATAGCCCATACCAACCCATAGCCCATAATAACCCATAGCCCATAATAACCCATAATAACCCATAGCCCATAATGACCCATAATGACCCATAGCCCATAATGACCCATAGCCCATAATGACCCATAGCCCATAATAACCCATACCCCATAATAACCCATACCCCACATCCCATAATAACCCATACCCCATAATAACCCATACCCATAATAACCCACATCCCATAATAACCCATACCCCATATCCCATAATACCCAATACCCCATCTCCCATACCAAACCATCCGTCCCATAATACCCCATAGAAACCCTTACCCCCATCCCATAATACCCCATCTCCCCTAGCAACCCCCCATCCCATAACACCCCATCTCCCCTAGCAACCCTTATCCCCATCCCATAATACCCGGTGTCCCCTAGCAACCCCTATCGCCATCCCATAATACCCGGTGTCCCCTAGCAACCCTTATCCCCATCCCATAATACCCTGTGTCCCCTAGCAACCCCTATGGCCATCCCATAACACCCGGTGTCCCCTAGCAACCCCTATGGCCATCCCATAATACCCGCTGTCCCCTAGCAACCCCACATCCCATAATACCCGGTGTCCCCTAGCAACCCCTATGGCCATCCCATAATACCCGCTGTCCCCTAGCAACCCCACATCCCATAATACCCGGTGTCCCCTAGCAACCCCACATCCCATAATACCCGGTCTCCCCTAGCAACCCCTGTGGCCATCCCATAATACCCGGTCTCCCCTAGCAACCCCTGTGGCCATCCCATAATACCCGGTGTCCCCTAGCAACCCCTATGGCCATCCCATAATACCCGGTGTCCCCTAGCAACCCCACATCCCATAATACCCTGTGTCCCCTAGCAACCCCACATCCCATAATACCCGGTGTCCCCTAGCAACCCCTGTGGCCATCCCATAATACCCCCGGTGTCCCCTAGCAACCCCTGTGGCCATCCCATAATACCCGGTGTCCCCTAGCAACCCCTATGGCCATCCCATAATACCCGGTGTCCCCTAGCAACCCCTGTGGCCATCCCATAATACCCGGTGTCCCCTAGCAACCCCTGTGGCCATCCCATAACACCCCCGGTGTCCCCTAGCAACCCCTGTGGCCATCCCATAATACCCTGTGTCCCCTAGCAACCCCTATGGCCATCCCATAATACCCTGTGTCCCCTAGCAACCCCACATCCCATAATACCCGGTGTCCCCTAGCAACCCCTGTGGCCATCCCATAATACCCGGTGTCCCCTAGCAACCCCTGTGGCCATCCCATAATCCCCGCTGTCCCCTAGCAACCCCTATGGCCATCCCATAATACCCCCGGTCTCCCCTAGCAACCCCTGTGGCCATCCCATAATACCCGGTCTCCCCGGTGTCCCCTAGCAACCCCCTGTGGCCATCCCATAATACCCGGTCTCCCTTAGCAACCCCTATGGCCATCCCATAATACCCGGTGTCCCCTAGCAACCCCTGTGGCCATCCCATAATACCCCCGGCCCGGTCTCCCCTAGCAACGCCCCGCCCACCGCACGTAGAAGCCCCTCTTGGGGTCCCCCCGCAGGGAGGCGCTGCCGGAGCCGAGGCTGCTCCCCAGGAGCTGCTCCCGCAGGTCGTGGATCTTGGCCTCGAAGCGACCGTACTCTGTGGGGCAGACCCATAGCGGGGATGTGTGGGGCGGACCCATAGAGGGGATGTGTGGGGCACGGACCCATAGCGGGATGTGTGGGGCACAGACCCATAGCGGGATGTGTGGGGCAGGGTGTGGGGCAGACCCATAGCGGGATGTGTGGGGCAGACCCATAGCGGGGATGTGTGGGGCAGACCCATAGAGGGGATGTGTGGGGCGGACCCATAGCGGGGATGTGTGGGGCGGACCCATAGCGGGATGTGTGGGGCACAGACCCATAGCGGGATGTGTGGGGCACGGACCCATAGCGGGATGTGTGGGGCTGACCCATAGCGGGATGTGTGGGGCAGGGTGTGGGGCGGACCCATAGGAGGGCATGTGTGGGGCACAGACCCATAGCGGGGATGTGTGGGGTGGAGCCATAGGAGGGATGTGTGGGGCGGACCCATAGCGGGATGTGTGGGGCACAGACCCATAGAGGGGATGTGTGGGGCAGACCCATAGCGGGGATGTGTGGGGCACAGACCCATAGCGGGGATGTGTGGGGCAGACCCATAGCGGGGATGTGTGGGGCGGACCCATAGGTGGGGATGTGTGGTGCAGCCCTATAGGCAGGGATATGTGGGGCAGCCCCATGGCAGGGACGTGTGGGGCATCCCTATAACGGGGATATGTGGGGCAGCCCCACAGACGGGGATGTGTGGGGCACCCTATAACGGGGATGTGTGGAGCAGCCCCACGGCAGGGATATGTGGGGCAGCCCCATAGGCAGGGACGTGTGGGGCATCCCTATAACAGGGATGTGTGGAGCAGCCCCACGGCAGGGATGTGTGGGTCAGCCCCATAGGCAGGGATATGTGGGTCAGCCCCACGGCAGGGATATGTGGGGCAGCCCCACGGCAGGGATGTGTGGGTCAGCCCCATAGGCAGGGATGTGTGGGTCAGCCCCACAGCAGGGATATGTGGGGCAGCCCCATAGGTGGGGATATGTGGGTCAGCCCCACGGGCAGGGATATGTGGGGCAGCCCCACGGCAGGGATATGTGGGTCAGCCCCACGGGCAGGGATATGTGGGTCAGCCCCATAGGCGGGGATATGTGGGTCAGCCCCATAGGCGGGGATATGTGGGTCAGCCCCACAGGCGGGGATGTGTGGGGCAGCCCCATAGCGCCCCCCTCACCCTCGGGTTTGTACTGGGCGATGATGGTCACGCTCTGCCCCGCGTTCTTCAGCGCCACGGCCGCCTGCTCGTGGGTGGCGCTGCGGAGATCAACCCCGTTCACCTGCAACGGGATCGGGGTGTGGGGTGTGGGGTGGGGTGGGGTGTGGGGTGTGGGATATGGGGTGTGGGATATGGGATATGGGGTGTATGGGATATGGGGTATGGGGTATGGGGTGTATGGGGTGTGGGGAGGGGGGGTGTGAGGGGTATGGGATGTATGGGGTGTGGGGTGAGGGGGGGGGTGGGGTGTGGGGTGTATGGGGTATGGGGTGTGGGGTGTATGGGGTATGGGGTGTGGGGTGTATGGGGTATGGGATATGTGGTATGGGATATGGGGTGTGGGATATGGGATTTATGTGGTATGGGATATGGGGTGTGGGATATGGGATTTATGTGGTATGGGATATGGGGTATGGGGTGTGGGATATATGTGGTATGGGATATGGGGTGTGGGGTGTATGGGATGTGGGGTATGGGATATGGGGTGCATGGGGTGGGCGATATGGGGTGTGGGGTGTGGGATATAGGGTGTATGGGATATGGGGTGTGGCGTATGGGGTGTGGGGTACGGGGTGTATGGGGTATGGGGTGTGGGATATATGTGGTATGGGATATGGGGTGTGGGATACGGGGTGTGGGGTGCATGGGGTATGGGGTGGGGGGTGTGGGATATGGGGTGTATGGGGTGTGGGATATGGGGTGTATGGTGTGGGGTATGGAATGTATGGGATATGGGGTGTGGGGTGTATGGGATATGGGGGGTGTGGGATATGGGGTGTATGGGGTATGGGGTGTGGGGTGGGGGATGTGGGGTGTGGGATATGGGGTGTGCGGTATGGGGTGAGGGATATGGGGTATGGGATGTATGGGGTGTGGGGTATGGGGTGTGTGGGGTATATGGGGTATGGGGTGTGGGGTGTGGGGTATGGGGTGTGGGGTATGGGGTGTATGGGGTATGGGGTGTGTGGGGTATGGGGTGCATGGGGTGTGGGGTATGGGGGATATGGGGTGTATGGGGTGTGGGGTGTGGGATATGGGCTATGGGATTTGGGATATATGGGGTGTGGGGTAGCGGGTGTGGGGCGTGGAATATGGGGTCTGGGATATGGGATGTGGGGTATGGGATGGGGACGTGTCCCTATGGGGATGGGGTCACAGTGGGATGGGGAATGGGGCAGGGATGGGGCAGGTATGGGGCAGCAATGGGGCAGCAATGGGGCAGGCAATGGGGCAGGCAATGGGGCAGCAATGGGGCAGGTATGGGGCAGCGATGGGGCAGCAATGGGACAGCAATGGGGCAGCAATGGGGCAGGGATGGGGCAGCGATGGGGCAGGGATGGGGCAGGAATGGGGCAGGAATGGGGCAGGAATGGGGCAGGAATGGGGCAGCAATGGGGCAGCAATGGGGCAGCAATGGGGCAGGCATGGGGCAGGTATGGGGCAGCAATGGGGCAGGGATGGGGCAGCAATGGGGCAGCAATGGGGCAGCAATGGGGCAGCAATGGGGCAGCAATGGGGCAGCTGGGGCGGATGGGGCAGCAATGGGGCAGGAATGGGGCAATGGGGCAGGGATGGGGCAGCAATGGGGCAGGGATGGGGCAGGGATGGGGCAGGCAATGGGGCAGCAATGGGGCAGGGATGGGGCAGCAATGGGGCAGCAATGGGGCAGCAATGGGGCAGGCAATGGGGCAGCAATGGGGCAGGGATGGCGCAATGGGGTGGGGAGGGATGGGGCAGGCAATGGGGCAGCAATGGGGCAGCAAGCAATGGGGCAGCAATGGGGCAGCAATGGGGCAGCAATGGGGCAGCGATGGGGCAGGGATGGGGCAGCAATGGGGCAGCAATGGGGCAGGTATGGGGCAGGAATGGGGCAGCAATGGGGCAGCAATGGGGCAGCAATGGGGCAGCAATGGGGCAGGGATGGGGCAGCGATGGGGCAGCAATGGGGCAGCAATGGGGCACAGGGATGGGGCAGCAATGGGGCACAGGGATGGGGCAGCAATGGGGCAGCAATGGGGCAGCAATGGGGCAGGAATGGGGTGCTATGGGGCAGCAATGGGGTGCTATGGGGCAGGAATGGGGTGCTATGGGGCAGCAATGGGGCAGGAATGGGGCAGCAATGGGGCAGCAATGGGGCAGCAATGGGGCAGGAATGGGGCAGGCAGCAATGGGGCAGCGATGGGGCATGGGGGCAATGGGGCATGGGGCAGCAATGGGGCAGGCAATGGGGCAGGGATGGGGCAGCAATGGGGCAGCAATGGGGCAGCAATGGGGCAGGGATGGGGACACCTCACCTTAAGGGTGCTGTGGGGGACGTGGACCCATGGATGGGGACAGCTTGGGGGGGGACCCGTCCCTATGGGGCCGAGAAGGGGGGCCGAGGATGGGGACCAATCCCTGCGGAGGGTGGGGACACCTTTGGGGGCGGGGACACATCCCATTGGGTGCCATGGACCCCGCCCACCGCCCAGCGGCCAATCACCATTGAGGTGGCAACCAATGGGTGTTGGGGGGGGGGCATGGGGACAATGGGGGGCAATGGGGGTCAATGGGTGCTAATGGCTATCAATGGGTGTCAATGGGTGCCGATGGGCGCCAATGGGTGCCAATGGCTATCAATGGGTGTCAATGGGTGCCAATGGGTGCCAATGGGTGCCAATGGGTGCCAATGGCTATCAATGGGTGTCAATGGGTGCCAATGGGTGCCAATGGGTGCCAATGGGTGCCAATGGCTATCAATGGGTGCCAATGGGTGCCAATGGCTATCAATGGGTGTCAATGGGTGCCAATGGCTCTCAATGGATGTCAATGGCTATCAATGGGATTCAATGGCTATCAATGGGTAGCAATGGGTGCCAATGGGTGCCAATGGGTGTCAATGGGTGCCAATGGGGTCAATGGGTATCAATGGGTGTCAATGGGAGTCAATGGGTGTCAATGGGTATCAATGGGTGCCGATGGGTGTCAATGGCTATCAATGGGTGCCAATGGGTGCCAATGGCTATCAATGGGTGTCAATGGGTGCCAATGGGGGTCAATGGGGGTCAATGGGTGCCGATGGGTGTCAATGGGTATCAATGGGTGTCAGTGGGTGTCAATGGGTGCCAATGGCTATCAATGGGTGTCAATGGGTGCCAACGGGTGCCAATGGCTCTCAATGGGACTCAGTGGCTATCAATGGGATTCAATGGCTATCAATGGGATTCAATGGCTATCAATGGGTGCTGATGGGTGCCGATGGGTGCCACGGGGGCCCCCGATGGGTGACTCACGGAGAGGATCTGGTCGCCCTTGCGCAGCTCCCCACTGAGGTCAATGGGTGTCAATGGGAGTCAATGGGTGTCAATGGGTGTCAATGGGGGTCAATGGGTGTCAATGGGAGTCAATGGGGGTCAATGGGTGTCAATGGGTATCAATGGTGTCAATGGGTGCCAATGGGTGCCAATGGGTGCCAACGGGTATCAGTGGGAGTCAATGATGTCAATGGATGTCAATGGCTATCAATGGGACTCAGTGGGTGCCAATGGGTGTCAAAGGGTGTCAATGGGTATCAATGGTGTCAATGGGTGTCAATGGATGTCAATGTGTATCAATGGGTATCAATGGGTGTCAATGGGTGCCAATGGGTGTCAATGGGAGTCAATGGGGGTCAATGGGTGTCAATGGGTGTCAATGGACATCAATGGGGGTCAATGGATTTCAATGGCTATCAATGGGACTCAATGGGTGTCAATGGGCGTCAAGGGGTGTCAATGGGTGCCAATGGGTGTCAATGGGTGTCAATGTCAGTCAATGGGTGTCAAGGGGTGTCAGTGGGTGCCAATGGGTATCAGTGTGAGTCAATGATGTCAATGGATGTCAATGGCTATCAATGGGACTCAGTGGGTGCCAATGGGTGTCAATGGGAATCAATGGCTATCAATGGGTGTCAATGGCTATCAATGGGTGTCAATGGCTATCAATGGTGTCAATGGGTGTCAATGGATGTCAATGGGTGTCAATGGGTGTCAATGGATGTCAATGGCTCTCAATGGGACTCAATGGCTATCAATGGGAGTCAATGGGTGTCAATGACTATCAATGGGTGCCGATGGGTGCCAATGGGTGACTCACGGAGAGGATCTGGTCGCCCTTGCGCAGCTCCCCACTGAGGTCAATGGGTGTCAATGGGTGCCAATGGGTGTCAATGGGTGTCAATGGGCGTCAATGGGTGTCGATGGGTGTCAATGGGAGTCAGTGGGCGTCAATGGGTGTCAATGGGTGCCAATGGGTGTCAATGGGTGCCAATGGGTGTCAATGGATGTCAATGGATGTCAATGGATGTCAATGGCTCTCAATGGGACTCAATGGGTGTCAATGGGAGTCAATGGATGTCAATGGGTGTCAATGGATGTCAATGGGACTCAATGGGTATCAATGGATGTCAATGGCTATCAATGGGTGCCAATGGGTGTCAATGGATGTCAATGGCTATCAATGGGTGTCAATGGGAGTCAATGGGTGTCAATGACTATCAATGGGTGCCGATGGGTGCCGATGGGTGACTCACGGAGAGGATCTGGTCGCCCTTGCGCAGCTCCCCACTGAGGTCCGCGGGGCCCCCCGCCAGGATGAAGGAGATGAAGATCCCTTCGCCGTCCTCGCCCCCCACGATGTTGAAGCCCAGCCCCGTGGAGCCCCGATGGATCAGGATGCGCCGCGGCTCCCTACGGATGTGGGGCGAGAGTTGGGGGGCAGCCCACTGGTGATGGGGAGCCCCCATAGGGGACAATGGGGGCAACCCAGGGGTGATGGGGACCCCATAGGGGACCATAGGGACCCCCACAGGTGAGACAGAAACCCCCATAGATGACCATAGGGACCCCATAGGTGCCCATGGAGACCCCATAGATGACCATAGGAACCCCATAGATGACCATGGAGACCCCATAGATGATCATAGGGACCCCATAGGTGACCATAGGGACCCCATAGGTGCCCATGGAGACCCCATGGATGACCATAGGAACCCCATAGGTGACCATAGGAACCCCATAGATGACCATAGCGACCCCATAGGTGCCCATAGGGACCCCATAGGTGACCATAGAGACCCCATAGGTGACTATAGGAACCCCATAGATGACCACGGAGACCCCATAGATGACCATAGGAACCCCATAGGTGCCCATAGGGACCCCATAGGTGACCATAGGAACCCCATAGATGACCATAGCTACCCCATAGGTGACCATAGGGACCCCATAGATGACCATAGGGACCCCATAGATGACCATAGGGACCCCATAGATGACCATAGCGACCCCATAGGTGACCATAGGAACCCCATAGATGACCATAGCGACCCCATAGGTGACCATAGGACCCCATAGGTGACCATAGGGACCCCATAGATGACCATGGGAACCCCATAGATGACCATGGAGACCCCATAGATGACCATAGCAACCCCATAGGTGACCATAGGGACCCCATAGGTGACCATGGAGACCCCATAGATGACCACAGGGACCCCATAGGTGCCCATGGGGACCCCATAAGTGTCCATAGGAACCCCATAGATGACCATAGGAACCCCATAGGTGACCATAGGAACCCCATAGATGACCATGGAGACCCCATAGATGACCATAGGAACCCCATAGATGACCATAGGGACCCCATAGGTGCCCATGGAGACCCCATAGATGACCATAGGAACCCCATAGATGACCATAGGAACCCCATAGATGACCATAGGAGACCCCATAGATGACCATAGGAACCCCATAGATGACCCTGGGGACCCCATAGGTGACCATAGGAACCCCATAGATGACCATGGAGACCCCATAGATGACCATAGGGACCCCATAGATGACCATGGAGACCCCATAGATGACCATAGGAACCCCATAGGTGACCATAGGAACCCCATAGATGACCATAGGAACCCCATAGGTGACCATAGGGACCCCATAGATGACCATGGAGACCCCATAGATGACCATAGGACCCCATAGGTGACCATAGGAACCCCATAGATGACCATGGAGACCCCATAGGTGACCATAGGAACCCCATAGATGACCATAGGGACCCCATAGGTGACCATAGGGACCCCATAGGTGACCATAGAAACCCCATAGATGACCATAGGGACCCCATAGATGACCATAGGAACCCCATAGATGACCATGGAGACCCCATAGATGACCATAGGAACCCCATAGATGACCATAGGAACCCCATAGATGACCATGGAGACCCCATAGATGATCATAGGGACCCCATAGATGACCATAGCTACCCCATAGGTGACCATAGGGACCCCATAGATGACCATAGCTACCCCATAGGTGACCATAGGAACCCCATAGGTGCCCACAGGGACCCCATAGGTGCCCATGGGGCAGTACCTGGGGACGTCGTCGTCGGGCAGCAGGTCCTTGGGGCCGGGGGAGTAGCGCCGTGGGGACGTGGGGGTCATGGCCGGGGGGAACTCGGGGCCCAGGTAGCTCTGGGGGCCCAGCTCGGCATCCAGGTGAGCGGAGTAGGCTGGGGGGGGGACAGCATGGGGGGCAATGGGGGTAAGGGGGGCAATGGGGGCAATGGGGGTAAGGGGGGGCAATGGGGTAAGGGGGGCAATGGGGGCAATGGGGGGCAATGGGGTAAGGGGGGCAATGGGGGCAATGGGGCAATGGGGGCAATGGGGGGCAATGGGGGTAAAGGGGGGCAATGGGGTAAGGGGGGCAATGGGGGCAATGGGGCAATGGGGGCAATGGGGGGCAATGGGGGTAAAGGGGGGCAATGGGGTAAGGGGGGCAATGGGGGCAATGTGGGGCAATGGGGGCAATGGGGGCAATGGGGGCAATGGGGCAATGGGGGGAATGGGGCAATGGGGGGACATCAAGGAGATGGGGATGAAGTGATGGAGGTGGCACCCAACTGACACCCATAGCACCCCAACGAGCACCCATAGCACCCCATCAGACCCCCCTAGCACCCAACTGACACCCATAGCACCCAACTGACACCCATAACACCCCAACGAGCACCCATAACACCCAACTGACACCCATAGCACCCAACTGACACCCATAACACCCCAACGAGCACCCATAACACCTCAACGAACACCCATCGGACACCCATAGCACCCCGACGAGCACCCATAGCACCCAACTGACACCCGTAACTCCCCAATGAACACCCATCGGACACCCATAGCACCCCGAGGAGCACCCCTAGCACCCAACTGACACCCCTAGCACCCAACTGACACCCATAACACCCCAATTGACACCCATTGGACCCCCATAGCACCCAACTGACACCCATAACACCCCAATGAACACCCATCGGACACCCATAGCACCCCAACTGACACCCCTAGGACCCAACTGACACCCATAACACCCCAATGAACACCCGTCAGACCCCCATAGCACCCCTAGGAGCACCCATAGCACCCAACTGACACCCATAGCACCCAACTGACACCCATAACACCCCAATGAACACCCATTGGACCCCCATAGCACCCAACTGACACCCATAACACCCCAATGAACACCCATTGGACCCCCATAGCACCCCGAGGAGCACCCATAGCACCCAACTGACACCCCTAGCACCCAACTGACACCCCTAGCACCCAACTGACACCCATAACACCCCAACGAACACCCATAACACCCCAACGGACACCCATCGGACACCCATAGCACCCCGAGGAGCACCCCTAGCACCCAACTGACACCCATAGCACCCAACTGACACCCATAACACCCCAATGAACACCCATTGGACCCCCATAGCACCCCTAGGAGCACCCATAGCACCCAACTGACACCCATAGCACCCAACTGACACCCATAACTCCCCAATGAACACCCATTGGACCCCCATAGCACCCCTAGGAGCACCCCTAGCACCCCTAGGAGCACCCCTAGCACCCATCAGACCCCCATAACACCCCCAGGAGCACCCCTAGCACCCCAGGAGCTCACAGCCGGTGACGTCGGGGGGCGCGAAGGCGTCGCCCAGGAAGGCGGCGGCCGGCTTGGCCACGCGCAGGTAGACGACGTCGAAGGTGTTCTTGAGCGCCGCCACGGCGTCCTCGTGCATCACGTCCTCCAGGCTGACGTTGTTCACCTGGGGGGGGGGCGATGGGGGGAGATGGGGGGCGATGGGGGGAGATGGGGGGTGATGGGGGGTGGGGGGTGATGGGGGGAGATGGGGGGAGAAAGGGGAAGATGGGGTCCCGTTGAGTTCAATGGAAGCAAGGTGCAGTTCGCGCTGGTGGCCACTAGGTGGCAGTGTGGCCATTGAGACTCATTGAGTCCCATTGATCTCCATTGACCCCTATTGACTCCCATTGACTCCCATTGACCCCCATTGACTCCCATTGATTCCCATTGACTACCATTGACCGCCATTGACTACCATTGATTCCCATTGACCACCATTGACTTCCATTGACCCCCATTGACTCTCATTGACCCCCATTGACTCCCATTGACTCTCATTGACTCCCATTGACCCCCGTTGACTCCCGTTGACCCCCATTGACTCCCATTGACTCCCATTGACCCCCATTGACTCCCATTGACCCCCATTGACCCCTATTGACTCCCATTGACTCTCATTGACCCCCATTGACCCCCATTGACCCCATTGACTCCCATTGACTCCCATTGACCCCTATTGACTCCCATTGACCCCCACTGACTCCCATTGACCCCCATTGACTCTCATTGACCCCCATTGACTCCCATTGACCCCCATTGACTCCCATTGACTCTCATTGACGCCCATTGACTCCCATTGACTCTCATTGACCCCATTGACTCCCATTGACCCCTATTGACCCCCATTGACTCCCATTGACTCTCATTGACCCCCATTGACTCCCATTGACCCCCATTGACTTCCATTGAAACCCATTGACCCCATTGACCCCCACTGACCCCATTGACTCCCATTGACTCCCATTGACTCCCATTGACTCCCATTGACCCCCACTGACTCCCATTGACTCCATTGACCCCCATTGACCCCCATTGACTCCCATTGACCCCCATTGACTCCCATTGACTCCCATTGACCCCCATTGACTCCCATTGACTCTCATTGACCCCCATTGACTCCCATTGACTCCCATTGACCCCCACTGACCCCCATTGACCCCCATTGACCCCCATCGACATCATTGACCCCCATTGACTCCCATTGACCCCCATTGACTCCCATTGACTCCCATTGACCCTCATTGACTCCCATTGACCCCATTGACTCCCATTGACCCCCATTGACTCTCATTGACCCCCATTGACTCTCATTGACTCCCATTGACCCCTATTGACTCCCACTGACCCCATTGACTCCCATTGACCCCCATTGACATTTTACTCCCATTGACCCCCATTGACTCTCATTGACCCCCATTGACCCCATTGACTCCCATTGACCCCCATTGACCCCCATTGACTCCCATTGACTCCCATTGACTCCCATTGACCCCCATTGACTCCCATTGACCCCCATTGACGCCCATTGACTCTCATTGACCCCCATTGACCCCCATTGACTCTCATTGACCCCCACTGATCCCCATTGACTCCCATTGACCCCTATTGACTCCCACTGACCCCCATTGACTCCTATTGACTCCCACTGACCCCCATTGACTCATTGACCCCCATTGACCCCCTTTGACTCTCATTGACCCCCATTGACCCCATTGACTCCCATTGACTCCCATTGACTTCCATTGACCCCCATTGACTCTCACTGACTCCCCTTGACCCCCACTGCCCCCCACTGCCCCCCATTGTCCCCCATTGACCCCCACTGATCCCCATTGGCCGCCATTGATCCCCACTGACTCCCATAGACCCCCACTGACCTCCATTGACTCCCACTGACCCCCATTGACTCCCATTGACCCCCACTGACCCCCATTGTCCCCCATTGACTGCCACTGACCGCCATTGACTCCCGTTGACTCTCATTGAACCCCATTGACTCCCATTGACCCCCACTGACTCTCACTGTCCCCACTGACCCCCATTGACTCCCATTGACCCCCATTGACTCCCATTGCCCCCCATTGAATCCCATTGACCCCCATTGACTTTCGTTGACCCCCATTGACCCCGATTGCCTCCCACTGAATCCCATTGACCCCCATTGACCTCCATTGACTCCCATTGATTCCCATTGACCCCCACTGACTCCCATTGAATCCCATTGACCCCCATTGACTTTCGTTGACCCCCATTGACCCCGATTGCCTCCCACTGAATCCCATTGACCCCCATTGACCTCCATTGACTCCCATTGACTCCCACTGACCCCCATTGACCCCCATTGATCCCCACTGACCCCCACTGACCCCCATTGATTCCCATTGACCCCCACTGACTCCCATTGACTCCCATTGACCCCCACTGACTCATTGTCCCCACTGACCCCCATTGACCCCCATTGATCCCCACTGACCCCCACTGACCCCCATTGATTCCCATTGACCCCCACTGACTCCCACTGACTCCCATTGACGCCCACTGCCCCCCATTGACTCCCATTGATTCCCACTGACCCCCATTGTCCCCACCGACGCCCATTGACTCCCCTTGACCCCCACTGCCCCCATTGACCCCCATTGTCCCCCATTGACTCCCACTGAGCCCCATTGACTCCCGTTGACTCTCATTGAACCCCATTGACTCCCATTGACCCCCACTGACTCTCACTGTCCCCACTGACCCCCACTGACTCCCATTGACCCCCATTGACTCCCATTGACCCCCATTGACTCCCATTGACCCCCATTGACCCCCATTGAATCCCATTGACCCCCATTCATTCCCATTCACTCGATTGACCCCGATTGACCCCAATTGAATCTCATTGACTCCCACTGACCCCCATTGACCCCCATTGATCCCCATTGGCCCCCATTGACCCCCATTGATACCCACTGACTCCCATAGACCCCCACTGACCTCCATTGACTCCCACTGACCCCCACTGACCTCCATTGACTCCCACTGACCCCCATTGATTCCCATTGACCCCCATTGTCCCCACTGACTCCCCTTGACCCCCATTGACCCCCATTGTCCCGACTCCCACTGACCCCCATTGACTCCCGTTGACTCTCATTGACCCCCATTGACCCCCATTGTCCCCATTGACTCCCATTGTCCCCCACTGACTCTCATTGTCCCCACTGACCCCCACTGACTCCCATTGACTCCCACTGACCCCCATTGATTCCCATTGACCCCCACTGACTCCCATTGACTCCCACTGACCCCCATTGATTCCCATTGATTCCCACTGCCCCCCATTGACCCCCATTGTCCCCCATTGACTGCCACTGACCACCATTGACTCCCGTTGACTCATTGAAAACCATTGACTCCCATTGACCCCCACTGACTCTCACTGTCCCCACTGACCCCCACTGACTCCCATTGACCCCCATTGACTCCCATTGAATCCCATTGACGCCCATTGACTTTCATTGACCCCCATTGACTCCGACTGCCTCCCATTGAATCCCATTGACTCCAATTGACTCCCATTGTCCCCATTGACCCCCACTGAATCCCATTGGCCCCCATTGATACCCACTGACTCCCATAGACCCCCACTGACCTCCATTGACTCCCACTGACCCCCATTGACTCCCATTGATTCCCATTGACCCCCATTGACTCCTATTGACTCCCATTGACCCCCATTGACCCCCATTGACCCCCCTGCCCCCCCCGCTGCCCCCCCCAGCTCACGGCCAGGATCTTGTCTCCGATCTGGAGCCGCCCGTCCTTGTGGGCCGCGCCGCCCTCGATCACTTTGGTCACGTAGATGCTGTTGTCCCCCGGGATGTGCTGGTTGCCGACCCCCCCCGCGATGCTGAACCCCAGCCCTGCATGGGGGGGGGGACACGCCGTGGGTCACCCCATAGAGGTATCCTCCCCCCCATGCCCCATAACATGGGCTGCCCCATAGAGATCCATCCATTCCCCCCCCATAACATGGGCTGCCCCATAGGGATCCATCCATTCTCCCCCATAACATGGGCTGCCCCATAGGAATCCATCCATTCTACCCCCATAACATGGGCTGCCCCATAGAGGGATTCATCCATCCTTTCTCTATAACATGGGCTGCCCCATAGAGAGATCTATCCACTCCCCCCCCATAACATGGGCTGCCCCATAGAGGGATCCATCCATTCCCCCCCCATAACATGGGCTGCCCCATAGATGGATCCATCCCCCCCCCATAACATGGGCTGCCCCATAGAGGGATCCATCCATCCCCCCCTCCATAACATGGGCTGCCCCATAGAGGGATCCATCCTCCCCCCTCCATAACATGGGCTGCCCCATAGAGGGATCCAATACATAGGCCATGGGGGGACAGCAATGGGGGGGCTGCTATGGGTCCGTATAGAGGGGGTCCCTATGGGGGTCCCCAGTGCTGGTCTATAGGGGTCTGGGGGTGGTTGGAAGGGTCCAATGGGGACATGGGGGGGGGGGGTGGAGGGGTCCAATGGGGTCTAATGGGCTCCAATGGGGTTCAGTGGGTCACAATGGGGTTCAACGGGTCCCAAAGGGTCCCAATGGGGTTCAATGGGTCCCAATGGCTCCCAATGGTGCCCAACGGGGTTCAATGGGTCCCAATGGGGCTCAATGGCTCCCAATGGGGTTCAATGGCTCCCGATGAGATTCTATGGGTCCCTATGGGTCCCAATGGGGTTCAATGGGTCCCAATGGGTCCCAATGGGGTTTAATGGGTCCCAATGGGGTTCTATGGGTCCCAATGGGGTTCAATGGGGCCCAATGGGGTTCAATGGCTCCCAATGGGGTTCAATGGCTCCCAATGGGGTTCAATGGGTCCCAATGGGTCTCAATGGGTCCCAATGGGGTTCAATGGTTCCCTGTGGGTCCCAATAGTCTCTATGGGTCCCAATGGGTCTCTATATGTCCCAATGGGTTTCTATGGCTCCCAGTGGTGTCTCTATGGGTCCCTATTTGTCTCTATGAGTCCGTATGTCTCTCTATGGGCCTCTATGTGGTCCCTATGGGTCTTTATGTGTCTCTATGGGTCTCTATGGCTCTCTATGGGTCTCTATGGGGTCCCTATGGGTCCCTATGTGGTCTCTATGTTTCCCTATGTGTCTCTATGGGGTCCCTATGGGTCTCTACGGGGTCTCTATGGGTCCCTATGTGTCTCTATGGGTCTCTATGGGTCTCTATGTGTCTCTATGGGTCCCTATGTGTCTCTATGTGTCCCTATGGGTCTCTATGGTTCTCTATGGGTCTCTATGGGGTCCCTATGGGTCTCTATGGGTCCCTATGGCTCTCTATGGGGTCTCTATGTGTCTCTATGGGTTCCCTATGGGTCCCTATGTCTCTCTATGGGTTCCTATGGGGTCTCTATGTGTCTCTATGGGGTCCCTATGGCTCTCTATGGGGTTTCTGTGGGTCCCTATGTGTCTCTATGGGGTCCCTATGTGTCTCTATGGGGTCTCTATGGGGTCCCTATGTGTCTCTATGGGGTCTCTATGGGTCCCCATGTGTCTCTATGGGTCCCTATGTGGTCTCTATGGGGTCTCTATGGGTCCCTATGTGTCTCTATGGAGTCTCTATGGGTCCCTATATGTCTCTATGGGGTCTCTATGGGTCCCTATGGGTCCCTATGTGTCTCTATGGGTCCCTATGTGTCTCTATGGGGTCTCTATGGGGTTTCTATGGGTTTCTATGTGCCCCCATGTGCCCCCCCCCGTTACCTTTGGGCCCTTTGATGAGCTTCACCTCCACGACCTTCTCGGCGAGCGCTTTACGGCGCATGACGTAAAGCCGCACGACAGCGCCCGCCTCCTTGAGCGCCTCCACGGCCGCGCTGTGCGGCACCTCCCGCACGTCCGCCTCGTTGACGAACAGGATGTTGTCATTCACCCTGCGCCGGAAGTGGGCGGGGCTTTCAGCGCCGGAAGTGGGCGGGGCTTCAGCGACCGATGCGGGGAGGGGGGCACGTGGGGAGGGAATGGGGCTAAATGGGGTTTAAAAGGGGGGAAATGGGGTCTAAAGGGGGGTAAAAGGGGGCTAAAAGGGGGGTA